AAAGCATCACGGGGGGGGGGAGGCTTGACACCTACAAATAAACTCAAAACCAAAGGAGAGTTAGGTTCTCCCCTCCCCCCCCGCCTCCCCACTGCAGGGGTTGACGCGATGCAACGCTTTATTTTTCTTCCCCCTGACCTTCGCTGTTGTTAAACTAAATTAAACACCAGCCCTGCTGCTGTAAATTGTTCCTGGCTTGTTATTGTTCTATCCGGGAGGCTGCTCAAAAGACGCTGCAAACGAGCGATTTTCTGTGGATTATTCTTTTTCGCTGACGGCAACATTAGCAATGGGGGGAGGGGTGTTGGGGAAATCCTTTTCCACAAGGGGGAAATATGTGTGTATTTATTTTTCTTTTTTTGTTCCTTTCGCATAATATTCGGCTAGGTTTTCTTTAAGGAGAGAATCACGATCTCTTGGGTTTGCAGGGAGGGGGGAGGAGAAGGAAGCAAGAGTTGAAAATGATAAACAAGCTTTTTTCCCCCCATTCCTTCTAAAAACATGAAAGTGTTTTCTGTTTGTCTACCAAGACGATCATAAAGTTTGCTTTCCATGGTCTCCCCTCCCCCATCTCCTAGTTTGGTCAGTTTTCATCCCCCCACCCCCGCTGCTTTTGACACATTAAGAGCCTTTTATGGGGACATGACACTTCACAAACACACACATATCCATAAATCAAAATGTACCTCTAACATGACAGCATTGTTCTGGATCACTTTATAACTAATGTGATGGTGGGTATGTTTTTGTTTTGTTTTTAAGAAAACTGAACAAAAACAAAGATTATTTTCTAATGAAATACCCTGGCACGCACATAAATTCCACTGGACCTATGATAGGGTTGTAAGACTGAAACAAACAGTCTCATCTGGCAGGTTCAGCTCTAGTCTGTCTTGTTGCATCTTCATAAACGTTTTCTTTATTTTCTGTTGTTCTGTTGTTGTACATGCCTAGCCTTTAATACATGTTTGCGTGTAAAGAAGCAGCAGAAGGAGCCAATGAAAATCAAAACTCCACTTACTTTTGTTTTCTTTCTCGATTTGCTCCAGGTAGCTGGCTGCTTCCAGCAAAATCTGCACATTCTGTAGAAAAGTGTTGATCTTCTCCATGGAGTCCTCACTGCTGGTGTTGAAAATGTCACTGAACGGGCACCTGGACGTATTATCTATCACTGGCAGTTGCTGCTGCCCTAGAACAGCTTCCCCAGCATCACCTTCACATTTGAATTCTTTCCTTGGCCTGCCACGTTTCCCCATTGCTTCTACAAATGGAAACTTTGAAATGTTTAAAGCCCTTTTGGCCGACTTTCCTCCTCTTGTTGCAGTTTGTGTGTATGTGTGTGAATGTCTAAGAGAGATTGAATGAATCAAGAGATCTCTTGATTCAAAGACTCCGCGCAGGTCCTAATGCTAGTATCTTTCTATATACATTTTTTTTAAAGTGGCAATGGTAGAGTCTGGTTTACTTACAGTCCAGTATTGAGTATAGAGTATATGTCACTTTCAAAACCACAAGAAACAAGGGCAGGGGAGACAAGCCCAACTGGGATGAAACCATAGAATTACAGTTGATCATTATAAACTACCACAGAAATACAGAGTTATGTGAGAAAAGCCAAATGGTTGCCTACTCTGAAGGAGGTTAGAGCTTGCTTCAAAATCAGTCAATAGGGTAGATAGAAAAAGGAATGAAGGGTAAGAAGAAAATTCTGTAAGTCAGATGAGCAGATAAATCTTGCTCATAGTTGAGAAAGACCATGGGAAAAGAAAAAGCTGAAAAGTGAAAAAGTTAGACTAATTAGGGCACAGAGAGAACTGCTCCTGTCTGTGCTCCTGCACTC